CAGCTATTCCCAGTTTGGATTGCGGCGGGGATTCCTGATCCAAAAATGGGCTACGACACACACACGGAGGCTATCCATGTGTTGGCTACATCTGTTCTTAGGTTGCTTAATGGTATCCGTTATACGAATAGCGGGTCTGCCAAGCGATTACCGTCGCAATCAAGACCATCGCGATATAATGATTGGATCAAGCATCAGAAAACCGAACTCTTGAATGGAATCAATGATTACCTCTTAGTGCGAAAGTGACCGATTTCAGAAAGGGATTTTATTCCAGTTACCCAAGTAAACGCCTCTAAGACATGCGAAAGAAGTTCCTGGAGGATAATCCATGACGAGCAAATTTCCTTTCCATATATTTTGTGAGACAAAGCGTTTGCCTGTCCACTACACAATAAAACTGAAGTGAAGGTTAATTTGGCAAGGGTGGATAATGGACATTTAGATTCTAGGATTGAGGACCCTGGTGAATATCGAGACGGTGTTGTCACATATCCCGTTTTTATAGTACAGCCGAATCACTCAAGTCAGATAGGCGATTTGTGATGGAGCTGTGGCGGGTAAAAAAGCCTGAAGGCTAATAAAGCAGTAGTGTTCGACGAAAATCAGGTCAACGAAGCCAAAAATTTTCATAAACAAGAGTTCAATACTGACGAAGAGTGTTAGCGCGGCGAAACACTATTTACCTCCTTACCGCCAGTGGAGGTAGTGCATTATCCAAACGATAAAGTGAGGTGATAGCAATCTTCTGTAATTCATACTGTTGGCTTGTTTTCTTAAGCGATTCGACTTAAGCCCGCTAGTAGGAGCTACAGAACCAATTCGAGACGAGACTGTAACGTAATTCAGCTCATCTTCTGTATGTCCTCAGTAGACTCTTTGGTCGCATACTTCTTACTTTCGCTATTTTTACTAAAGCCATTGCCAGAAAGGTTCTGTATTGGGAACATACTTGGCACCGATATTTGCTAGCCAAATGCAGAAGTGATTGCAATTGTTTTCCGAAATACCCTTCGTTTGAACCGCATTAAGCCGGAGCAACAGCTCACATATGAAAGCATGGGGAAGTTGGTTCGGTTCTTATATAGATATTAGCGATACATCAACTGTCTTGTGTGGATCGACAATACTGCCCAACAGGAGATAATTCAAACTTCTGGCTTAACAACTAGGACAGGCAGTTGCCTTGCATTAATGAGCCTGTGACAGTAATCTGGGAGTAGGCCCAAATTTTAATCACTAGAAGTCGCTGACAGCATCGAATAACGACGATGCCATTCGAAGTTTTGAAAGGTGTTAACAGCAACGGCACTAAATGCAGACCAAGAAAATCTGATTTTAAAGATTAACTTAGCGGGAAAAACGAGTCTAGAAAATATAAGTTGACCCAATTGTGAAAAAATTGCGGCGTTCGGCGGGATTTCAATCCCCATAGTAGGGAAGGCCTTTGTGCGAAGCCAATGCTCTACCAGTTGAGATACAAACGCCTGCCTTGCACCGTGAATTTAATCACACTTGGATCGAGTATTTCCCAATTGGGTCAACTTAAATTAAGCAAATCTGCCAAACATCCTTAATAGTCTGGAAAATGTTATCGAACCAACGCGCGGTTAGTGCTTGTTAAGCCGCATGACCACTGCTTTGTAAAGGTAAGGATAGCTGTTAGGAAGAACTTTTCTAAAAATTTCTAATAAGGCATTAACTATCATTTCTTCAGTCAACTTGATCCTTGAGCGCAATTTTGCAGTTCAAATTGTGGACGAATAATTCGTGCAGAGAGTGGATTGAAATGTGACAAACGATAGCCTAGGACCCAAATATGCCTTATGTATGGGATAATACTGAAATAACAGTGAATAACGAAAGTGGATGGCATAAAAATAGGCTTGAAATGTGCAAAAGTTATCTGTAGGCAACAGTAAAATGTGAAATGCAATATGGATGACTCAGTCAA